GGAGGGGTTATGCATGATGGATGTTAGTTTTACCAGCATCCTTCTGTCCGCCACCTCCTCGATGGAATCCAGAGAGCAGTCCAGGACAGAACCAGCTCTCTTAACCAGCTTGTTGAGTCTCTTTCTGTCTCTGTCCATGCTACCTCCCACCCAGCCCACAACAGCATAAAAAACAACAGATGCCACCACAGAATCATGAAATGTCTGAAGGAGTGCCCCGCGCACACAAAGGACCTCAGTCTCCTCAACAAGTGGAGGCGGCTCTGGCCCTTCTTGTACAGGGCATCAGTTACTTTTAATTATGCTCATCAACTTTTTTTATTCATCACTTTTTAACAATATCAACAATTTCTATGATACTTTTAGCTAACTTAAACTGATAATTAACTGCCTTTTCCCATTACTTGCTATGAGTATTGTTCATTGGTTAATCTATTAAAGCTGCCTATCCATGATGTTTAACTTTTTCATTTACACTGTTCAGTTGCTAATGTTGACTGGGTACCTACCTTACTGAGGCTGATGGGCAGCTTACTTGTTATTCTAAATTTGCTAGACAGTCAGTTCAGCTTTCTACTGACCCCGTGACAACTGCATAAGTACCTCCTGGAATACTTGTACCACTGGGGTGTCCCCTTACATACTTTCAGAACAATTATTCCCATCAACCATTTATCTAGCACTTTCACATGCTGATAAGATTAAAGACTGAGTTGTCGGATATAATTTGCGAGGTCTCCTGGAAATGTAATTATAAATTCTGGATGGTCACATTTTAATTTGTGCAATCCCTGTTGCCAGAATACTCTCTGGATCCCCACACAGAAACTGCATCTCCCTTTTGACTTAAAGATTTACAAATGCTCAAAGGACATTAAATCTGTGGCCAGCCTGTGGAGACCAAGTCTGAAAAAATTAATAACACAATAAAACACCACTGATCATCTCCAGTCTGTTTAAGGAGAAGGACAATGCCGGGCTCTGTAAATGTCAGGTTCATTCTCTCCATCTACTGTATAGACCTGCTCAGTGCTGGAGGTCTGTCATCAGTCTCAGTGATACTTATGTTCTTAGGCTTCACTTTAACTGTATTTTCTTCCTCTAGATTGGCTTTATTATTCTTATTCTCTTTTATTAATTCACGATATCTTCCTTTTTATCGCAATAACCTTTCACCTTCCTCTTTTAATTTAATTTTTTAACTTAAATGTAAATTTTAATCACTTTTATTGGCCAAGGAATTTGTCTCCAGTACAAAACCGAGGCAGCCATCCGCAGTGCCAAAAAATCCAAGGTGGAGTTGAACTCAGGCAACTTCAGAGACAAAGCTGCTCTTTATGCCTTCACTGCCCTCTCCACTAAAAAATCACACTGTTAAGACTCCAGGACAGTGAGATCCAGTTCAGTTCAAACAACAGGCTCCTTCCTTAACACAACAGATGAGCAATGACAAATGCAATTTACCATCTAAACAGGGTTTATGTCAGAAATGTTAGCAACCTTAATGTAAATATGCATAGACTTCTCCTTGATGAAAAACGGATGAAACGACTGATATGGTGACATAAAAAATGAAGAAAGTTAGGTAAAAATTTCCTCTTAAAAAGAGGAAGAATAACAGCATGTCGGTGAAGCTGCAGATGAAGAGTGGAGCAAGTCTCAGACTCAAGACCATATTGTTAATACAAAAGTGACAGGGGAGCTATGGCTGTAGAGGAATGACATCTGGCTGAAGCTTTCCAAATGGACTTGGATCAGCGGATCCTGCCTCTTAGTTTTCAATATGATCAACTGAGGCCAAAAAGACTACACTGTTTGACATAATCTCCTCATAAGTGTATTTTTGAATCAGGATGTTTTGTTACTCACACAGTTTTCTAATCTATGCTTTGTGGTTATGCATGAGTGTATTCTATCCATTTCGGCTGGTGTGTTCATGTGCATAAGTGATGCCGATTACATCTTGGTCTTAGTGGGCATGGAAGTCTGGATACTGAGTGAGTGTCTTTGTGCGTGTACTGTATTTGTATTGTCTAACCATCTTGTACTCCTTCCATGTCCTCTGGAAGTCTACGCTGCCGTCTTCTCTGCGCTGGATAACTGTCCATCCACCACCGGCTGTTTCCATGTTGCAATACACCTATACAATTTAAAAAAGAAAGGAAGACAGAGTGGAGAGGACACACATAAGGTGATGGAATAGTCATAGCACCCGTAGGTTTTGGTTCATTAAGAACAATGTCATTTCACCGTAATTCTAATGAATTCAACATTCTTTCAGTGGCATTAATAAACAATGAGGGGTCATCTGAACAGACACTCCTTTTCCCAGCATTCCTGACTAATCATTCCTGGGAATGTGATATATCCGTGTCCTCCTAAAATTTAACCAGCATCTTCTTATCCCTCACCTACTCCCCAGTGTTGTTTCCCATCAGAGAACCGTCTTTCTGCAGGATTAAAGTGGAGGGTGAACACACACCAGCAGACACCTAGGTATAACGTGGCCCTTAATCTTGGACCTCAGTGTGTGTAAGCTGATAATGTAGGGCTGGTGCGCTATCTGCAGTGTTGCTCTTTGTTTTGAGGAGGAGACCCCAGAGAGGAGCAGAGAAGGTCTCTCACCTCAACCAGACCACACAGCTGAACACACATGAACACAGCATGGGTATAATTAAGAAAGTGCCCCTGACAGAATCATTTTCCCCAAGATTAGTGCATGGCATACGTACATGCACAACACGTGCACTACAGAATTGGACAGCGTGTATGCTTCACATGCTGCCAGAGCAAATATTCATCCATAGGCTTGAAGCTTAATAAAATTTAAGCTGTTGTGCATTTTGATCCACTTTATAGTTTAAATGTTCATCCAAAAAAATTTTGGAGAATTTTAGTTTGACTTTTAGTGAGTTTTTAAACTTTTATTTTTTAAAATTTTCTGTGAATAAAGAGAAGCACCATTCTTGTGATTGAGACAAAAACTTTCTATCAACATAACTTATTAAATCATCACCATCAATTATGAGTGTGTAAACAATAGAGGTAAAAAAAAAACACACAACACACATCCATACACACACACACTTGCACCAGTCGCCATCCTGATCAGCTTAGTGTCCTGTTTCACACCTCACACACTCCTGCTAAACTCCTGTACTGTCAAAGCTTCCAAGTGTATTTCTAGTTTTAAAGGTTCATGCAGCAGCTAGCACCCATCATTCACACTCATCTCTGGCTGTGGTCACACTATCAGGGCTTTTAACTCACAAGGAGATAGCTGATTCTCACTTCAACTCTGAGAAAACAAGTGAAACCCCGCAGACCTACTATGAAAGAGCTTCCTAGATGTGTTGAAAAGGCAGAGAGCTACAGTCTGTAAGCTACTGTGGCTTCCAACCTTTTTGGTCTCCTGTGAATTGAGATGGATGGTGTAAACAGCGTTCTTATGGAAGCCAGCCTGGTAGAGCTCAGCACAGTCGCGGAACTTCTTTTCCTCATCCACGACTTTGGTACTGTTCGGAACAACTGTGGGTACACAAGCAGGAAGGGACAGGGGGTTACACTGTTTTACCTGTAGAAGACTGTACACACAGACAGAATTAAACACCCCTAGTGGAAAAACCACAATAGACCAGCATAGAAATCCTGCCATTCTGTACTGGTATAGTACATGAGCTATCAGAACCATTTTGTGGTCTTGGAGCATGTAATGCTAATGAGACTGGAATCCTTTTTAGATATTCACTGTTGCAACAATCTATAATAAACATTGCACTATAGGAACAGTTCGACACTGTCGGGAATAAGCTCATTCACTTTTTCACCATAAGTTGATACAGCACTCATGTCTGGACACTAAGTTTGGAGCTAGAGTTGAGAGGCGACTTGCTTAACTTAGCAAGACTGGAAGCGGAGGGAAACAGCTAGCCTGTCTCTATTTAGGGTTTGCAGTACCTCTAAAGCACACCCATCAGTACACTGTATTTCATTTTGCTAATATGTACATAAACAGAAATTTTAAAATGACAAGTTATGGTTTACCTACTGTAGAAGTTATGGGCCATAATTACTACTTACTGAACAGCCACTACAGTAAGTGCAGTGAATGGGAGCATATGCTGGACAGTGAGTAACTGCAAGGTGACAGAGAAGCCATTACTGAACCTGGGATAAAACTGGCTACTTGTTTACTCCTGCTTACAGTTTAAATGCTAAACTAAGCTAAGCACCTCCTGGCTCTAGATCCATATTTAGCACATATAAATACCAGTAGCATTGAGCTTTGCATTGCATCACTATCTGCCACGCTCTTTTTGTCACTGCCACTGAGGGTACAAATGTAAAATTCTACACAAAGTGGTCTTATGTGGTTATGTTTGCACATCCCACACCACATTAAACTGCATTTCAGCCAGTTAGGAAGATGACAGAACAACTTTGGGCCTAGACTTTGACTGACAGGATGCCCAAGCTCAGGTGCCGGTGCTGCAATGCTTTGTGATAAAAAAAAGATTAAATAAACACTTTGTATATTGTATAAGAATAGTACTGTACATAAAGTCCATGCTATTAAAAACAGTGACCCTTCATGCAACCTCTTGTGTCAGTATGGAACTAATACTTCTATTATAATATTTTATAAAGTCACAAATTACAAACAAACAAGTCAATTTATCACAGTTTACACCTGTAAATGTCAGCAAAAAGGATAATAAAACCATTTGAGGCAGCAGCCGATCTGTGAGGTCTCCATTAACCATCACCTCAGGGCGACTAACATATTAAGGTGAGAATAGTAGTTTATCAACCAGCTGATCTCTAACTCTGAAAGAAGGCCTCACGCTTTGGCAGACAGGCTGCATACATTTCTATGTGTAGATAATTATGGCAGCACTATTTTGAAACCAAGCAAGAGGCTAAGGACAAAATAATACAAGCTACAAATTTCATGTTCCTGTTGTAAAAAGTGGTTTATATTTACTTTCCTAGCCCTTGTTTTTCACTTCTGCATTGCCTCATGGTTTCCTCTTTCATCTCCGGTTTCACATTATTGTTTTTATTGTTGGAGTTGTTGAGAAAAAGAAGATGTCAGTGAAAAGAGCCGGCTGGGTGGGAGTTGGCCTATATCAGACGCTGGATATCTATTTGGCTTCTGTCTGTTTGTGAGTGTTCTTAACTGATATTGTATTACTATGCTTTTATTTCTGTAGCACTTTGTGCTCTTGAGCTGGAAAGTGTAGTACAAATAAAGATTATTATTATTATTATTATTATTAAAAGTGAAATGTGTCAGCAATGCTTAACCTTCACTTTGATCCGCTCCTCCTCAGCACAGAGCATCCTGGTGGAAGCAGGCCGCTTACTTGGGCGTACTATCTGAGCATTTTGACAAAGTATTGAGTGTCAGCAACAAGAACCTCCTGCTGTGACAGGATGACAGAGGGGGCCCTCGCATGCCAGACTCTAATGCAACAAAGGGCGGCCCTGTCAGGTGGTAATTTACCCCAAGCAGGCAGACAGCAGGGCACGTTTTAGAGGCCAGGGAGATCACTGTCAGAGGAGAACTTTCTGGTATTCGATCTGTAACAGCGTGGACAATTATTACACAATCACATCTGAGATCTTCCTTTGTGGAAGAAGACTGTCTGCTGAGGGACTGGATGCTCCAGCGTAGGAGCGGCTCCCTTGAACAGCTTGCTGCACAGCTCTACAAATATTATTTATGTCCCAATATTTATTTGCTGAAAAATATTTTGTGGTTCACTGGGGACTTGTATTCAGTAGGGGGTTCATGTGAAAGGACCAGCAGGGCTTGGGTGTTTGCATAAATCAGTACCCTTGCCAAATGAGCCCAGATACTAGGACTAAAGAGTAAATAATGGAACTAAATGAACTGCCATAGATATCACTGCTCCCATGTGACCATAATAAGTTTCTAAATACTGCTGAGAATTAAAGTGCTTCCTATAAGAACCAATACATTTCTGTCGTATATAAGGAATGCAAAGCACTATAAAATGACACCAGTTCATTCCCACAGTACATTTTACAACAGCTGTGCTATGAAGGCCTTGCTTAACATGATACAAGGATTATGGTTATGTGATAGTTCAAGTTAAAGCTGTTACTTCAAGATTACAAACCCTGCTCTTCAGTATGCTGCTTTGTAACGATCAGACACTGATGCCCCTGTGTCCCAAGAATGATAATGTACAGTATACAACTACACTGCATTCGCAAATACTGTACACTAGATTGTGTTTATGCACAGAACTGAGATAAATAACAATAACTGCACACAGTATCCAAAAACTCATTCTCCTGGTCAGTGAAACATAAAAATAATCATATGCAGCACTTTGAAAACAATTCATAAAGACTAACTTGAACTGAGAAGTGATGTGTAACAAATTGGTTTGTGCTGAGGCATTACACACTGTGAGTGCCCATTTCTAAGTCTTTGCATGGCGTCTTAAAATTATGGTATTTTACTCTCATCGCCTCTGAGTAAGCAGTGAACATGATGAATGTCGTTCATTTAGCGGGATAATAGCAGACTGTCAAATGAAGTCATATTTAACAGCCAGAACTTTCTACATAATGTTCCAAAACTGAGGTCAATTACTATTAATAATAGTGTGTTGGCTCATTGCACTCTAATGAGGTTTAGGTAATGATTACAACTTAAGATTCCCACTGCTGCATCTGACCACATCACATCCCCAACCCACAGTTTGCACTGCAAAACTTGAGGACACACTGGACACCTAGGAAAAGCCATACAGGGAAAATAGAAAACAAAAAATAACTACATGGAGATTTAGTGTCAAGACTCCCTTTTTTAGGTGTCTGACATCTTCCCCAAAGTAAAGTCAAAGATGATCTGAGTCCATGCTTTAAAGGAAATGCTTAGGCTCACTTTTCAAAACAGAGCCTAATGCAAGCAGACGCCACTCCGTGGCATGAAATGCTAACCCCATTCTGAAAAGAAAACACCAAGACAATCTCAAACAAACAAATGCCCTCCCCTGAACGCAAAAAAGATGGGTAGTCTGCTTCTGTGTTTTTAATGCTGTTGAAAAACAGAGGCAGAGCATCAGATGATCAGTGACATCTACCTATTCCTTCCCCTCTTTTGGACAAGGCTTCCCCCAGGAGCTATTACAGTTTGACTTATTTGGGCTGGGGTGAAGAAACGGGAGACCTCTGACCTGCGTGCCCACCTCAAACTTTGACACCGCATGGAAGAGGAAAGGACCAACCACAGAGCAGCAGTGGCCATGTTACATTTCTATCGCCTCTTGTTAAGGCAGCCAGCAATCAGAGAAAGGGGGATGGGCTGGGGCACCCTGCTCTGCTGACCTCCCTGACACAAGAAATAGCAGAAATGGTGTCAAAATAAAGGCTAGTAAAGTTGCATTTACAGTGAATGCTGTCAGATTTGAGAAAAGATAGGACTCTGGAAGTATCGAGTCAGCACACACTTGAATCTTAACATGAGTTGAGTGTTGAGGAGCGACATCAGGACCAGGCAGGCCAAAATGGTCTCAAAGGAATTTTGGTAATTAAATGTAACTTACACAAATCCAGGGTAAACAGATGGAGTGCAAACAGAGGCCGCCCGTGACCGCTGTTGCATGGAACATTAAAAGTACAAAAGGGAGCAGCATGATAAATACAAAGCATGTTAATCACGTGCATTAGTCACTCATGGTTCCAACATCCTTTCGTGCCCTTGTCATTTCCTGTCTGATGGGAAGCCTCAAGAAGCGCTGTGGGCGTCCCTTTGGGAAACCCACAAATGGAAATGAGGTTGCAAACAAACCCCCAACACAGACATTCAAGTCAAATCTCCTGTGACCAGTGGGATTTAGAATTAGGATCAAGTGTGTTTGGTGTTTAAAAAGCTGAGTTAGACGTAAATGAGTTCCACTGCATTTGACCAAACAAGAAACGATGGGTTGCTGTTGGGTCAAATAGAGGGTCAAAAGGGAAATCCCTGGTTGTGTATTAACAGAAGGGAGGGACTCTGAGAAATAAAAATAAACCCATTACTTCATAGCCAGAGTCCTGTTTGATATGTTAGTGTGGCTATGTCCACAGACTTTATAAAGTTAAAGCATGAAAAATGATTGTTACAAAAAAAAAGAGCACCATGCTGGTTTATGAGAGACACCAAATCTCTTACAATAAGAACCATATTTCTATTTTCATGCTGCTCTCAGCGATATAAAAATTAATAGCCACTGCATCCCTGTGCCTCTCATTATGGGGTAATGTTTATAAAACTGGTGTCATCACAGTTTCATAAGAATCATAAAATCTGTGTTGTTATAGCTGTAACATCTGATCAGAGAAAGTAGCCAATTCAAAACAAGCTGAGTGTTGCCTCATAGTTCAAGCCTCACCCCACCAATCCACCAACTCTGCTTTGCACATTGAGGTCTGACATTTTCTTGGGTTTGGATTATTGCTAAAGGAGGTGGACATAATCTTGGATCAATATACAATATAATCAATCATCAGATGATTGACAAGTACCCTCCTCCACTGAAACATAAACCCTTGTTTCTCTGAATGGACAAAGCCAGTACTTTGAAAGATGCTCTTGATTTAGTTCCAGGATTTCAAACAAATAAAACAAAATGTGGGCTTCCATTCAAGTATAACGCAAATTTTAAGAGAATTTCAGGAAATCAATGGCTGATTTGCCAACAGACAAATTTCATCCACTAGTTGGCGAGGCATTTGACTAAAAACCAACAATGTCGAGCTCATCAGGAGCTGGAGAACAAGTCAGGAGGTCGCCAGAGTTAGAAGGCTTCACCCTCTGGGGAGCATAAATGTCAGCACACATATTTGTGGCAATGCATCCAGTAGTCATGACAAACAAACAAATCATTCCCAGAGTCATGCCACTAGCACTGCTAAAACATGACCACTAAACTGTGCATGGTCATAAAAACTACATGATGCACTGTGTCCCTGTTGATTTTGTTATTGTCCATGAGTTCAGCTTTAAAACATAGCCTTGCCTAAATTTCATAAATATTATTCCTGGTTTTTAACTGATTGGTCCTGCATCAGACTTCTTATGCTTCCATGTCTAATAGTTTGTGACGTTCTTCATCTGTAACCTCAGCACCAAACAAACAGCAGAGTGTGCTCTTATGTGAAGGCCATTGTATGAGATCATATTTACACTAGCAATTGTTGAAAAAGTTCCAGTGCTTTCAACGTGTGAGATTTACCTCCATCTTTGGAGCAGAGGTTGAGCAGGTTGTGGACGGTGTCCATCATCTCCTGCTGCTGTCTCTGCAGGGCCGTGCTGTTCCCTGTGGCGCGGCTCAGCTGGGTTTCCAGCTCCCTGATCACCCCACTCTGCCTCCCAACCAGCATTTGGAGACTTCCCTTCTCCTGCTTCAGAGTTTCCAGCTCTTCACGGTGTCGCATCTCCATCTCCATCATCTTCTGCTCCAGAAGGCTGAGGAAAAAGGTCACAAATGTTTGTTAGGTGGGATGGAGAAGTGTTTAAGCCTGATTCCTTGAGGTATTTATATCCACTTGGATGGGATTTGTTTTCATGAGAATTAAATAGTTTGAATATTGTTTCGCAGTCGTTGCTATGATATTACCTAAGATTCATTTTAGGTAAGTAAAATCTGTTTTATTTTCTACAGCATCATGAGTAAGAGTCAGCTGATTAAAGCTGAATTATTTCTCCACTTTCGACATTTTTAATTGCTGCTGTTATTGTTGGACAGACACGGTGAGTGATTACAGTCAAAGCGTGGTGATACACTCTTCACTGCACAAATAATTGATAAAAGTACACAAACACAACAAGGTTCCTTCAAGCCAGAAATACAAATCCTTTTGTCTAAATGTTAGTTCATCATGTGTAGCCCACACACTATAAATCTTTTTACCATTATAGTGTTACTATTATATAGCCTAATGCCTGGAAGATAAAATAAAATGACACTAAATACATTAACTGATCATATGTTTCCCTCTGTTATTGATAAAGATAAAGGGTTATGATAAAGGAAAAGAAAAAGCAGCATATAAAACAGAGTAATGTCATAAAGCTGAAAACTGCCCTCAGAAATCAGAAACCTCAGTAAGATTCACCGGAGACTACTCTTTCAAATGGTTGGACTGCAAATGATTGCAGTGAGTCTCTGTGGATTGCAATGAGCAATGTGGACTGAAGCCTTTTAAACACTATATCTCGCAGGACCAATGACTGTACATGATCTGGAGACAAATATGTATCCTTGATTTTGCAACATATGAACAGTGGTCCAACACGGAAAGCACACCCTCACACATTTGAGACTGATTTACTGAAAATCACAGACAATGAACTTCCTATTATGCTGTTTATACAACTGAAAACTGTTTTGGAAGATGAACAAATTATGTGGTAGTCAGCAAGAACTGTTAGCAAGTGTTTGATTTTGTTGGCACAATTGTACCGAGAACAGCAGTCTCCTTCCTATCTATGATCTTTAGTTGCAGTGCGTCTTTGTCCGGTTTGCTGCAGTGTAGATGCTAACCAGCCTGTGTGGATTCTCTGCTTGTTTACCTGTTCTTGTCATGGAGTTTGCTGATCTCATTGGTCTGGATCATTAACTGTTTCTCCAACTTGTTAGTGGAAAGAGAATTTTCCAGCAGCTGGATCTCAAGCCTTGATGTCTTATTCAAAACCTGCCATATAAAAAATGCAGATATACAGAACACAACATTTAAACATAATAAAAAGGGAATGTCAACATGTCGTGTTAGCTGCAGTAATACTAGCTAATATCATGCACAATTGCACCAAACCTTGAGGAGAAACCAAAAATACAGGGCCATATTTCAAGGCCTTTCTCGAAACACACTGCATATTCACGGCACATATAAACAGTCTGCTCTGTTTTCATTTTGACAAGTGCTTCTCAAACACATGGTAATAATCATAACATACTCTAGATGGATAAGTATCTGTTTTTAAATTTTGCAAATGCTTATCTTTTTAGTTCTTTAGCTAAATTTACTGACTGCTAACTTTATAAGTTTCCATTACCTCTTCCTCATGCTCCATATAAACACCAAAAGGAACCTGAGGCAAGCAGAGACATTTATACAGCATCACTTTTGCCTTTGGCCACTTTTCTGTAACCTTTTTGGAGTAGTTGGATATAGAATGACTAGGTTAATGGAGCCTAGATAAACCCTCGGTGTATGTGGACAAGAAAGAGAAAAATGTAAAGATAGAATAGTCAACTTTATGCAAACCTGTGTTTCAACGTCAGTTAGTTTGCGTGTTTGTTCAGCCGTCTGAGAAAGAAGGTTGGTGCCCATTTCCAACATGGCTGCTGTGTGGTTGTGGACGGCACTCTGCTGCAGCTGAGCCATCTCGGTCTTCATACTCTCTTTGATGTAGTTCTCAATCTGCATCAAGACAAATGTGAGAAAGCGGGTGAAATGAGTCTCCAGTGTTACTCTAGTGTCTTACAAACTCGTATTTATTAGGACAACAGGTTTAAAGCATTCTCTATAATGCAATTTAATTTAAATAAAAGATTTCCACAGATCATACGCTGCAAAGGGGTTCTTTTGCACATCTGAGAAATGCACAAACATAAATCTTTCCACCATTTGAATGGCATGGAAGTGAAGAATGGCTTCAGTCAGATTTTAGCTCAGGATGGAAGGGGCAGAGATGAACAGATTTTTACTGAAGGTCATCTGGCAAGAACCCTTTCATCCTTATCTCCAAACGCAAACAAAGGAACAGAAGGAGATGAGGTTGGGGTCAGATAAAAGTCTTCATATGGATTAACTCTATGGACCATATGTGTACTTTGCTCCGATGTTCCCCATCCCAGTGAAATGGGATGTTATAGACATGCTATGTTTTACAAAGACAGCAAACCTAACTTAAATAGATTTTATGTGTCCACTTGTTCATATGGCGGCTCACATTCTGAACACACAGTGATTCAATGATTGGCCGGTGGAGAAATGTTTAACCACTTGATAAATAAATGATGTTTTCTAAGTTGTGCTCTGGCTCATCAATGGGCTATAACAGCTATTTTTTTCTGGAATGAATGAGCCAAGGAAAATCACGGCCAAACAGAACAAGGCCATATCAGTTCCACAGCTGTGGGCTTCACTGCACTCACTAGTGATAAAAGTCAGAATGGCCATATACTACTTAACACTGGAGGGGTACAGACGATGACAAAAGGAGAAGCAGCAGCCTAGCTCCTGGTTTAGGTTAGAGGGGCTACAAAATGCCTATTGGGCACATTTTCAATGGCAAAGAGCACTGTCACAACTATCGTATCCCTATATTTTGTACTTTATAATATTGTGTATGTTGCAAAATAAGTGAAATGCACAAGTGTCTATTTACCCCCAAAGCAGTTGCTGAAGATAAGAAATTAGGAAATTAACACTATACAGTAAATGAAAAAGTCACTGCACAATATCAAAATTAAAATATTAAATGCATATGTGTGATTTTAACTGGAAACAGTTTCAACCTGCTTCCAAAAGTGTGCAGGTATAATAAGTAAAACTCTAGGCAACATCTCTGTAGTGTCCCTCAACAGCTGCTACCCCTATGTGTATGTTTCAGTATGAACAGTTACGTAATGGCACACTGAAGTTTGCTATTTATGACAGTTTCTAACCTAAAGTATAGCTGACATTTCCACAGAAAGCAACTGTCTCAAGTCATCTTTACATCTTTCTGTACATACAAACTGTTCTGATTAGCCAGTTAGTGCTGATGAATGGCAGCATACACGCCAGGACAGTTCAGAATGAATATACATAAGCCAGTAAAGGGTTTCATTATAGCCAATCTTGATCATCTAATATTTAGATCAGTGAATTAATAGGTTGACAAGAAAGCCGTCGCACAGAAAAGGACAAATTACATGCTACACCTTTGTACACTATAGCAGAATATGTGTATTGTTTTTGGATCTGTGCTGGTAATCATAAAGTTTCTAGAACTAAGAGGTAAGTCTTTCTAGCTGTATCTGTTGACACAACAAAATTCAGAAAATATCTATACTAAGGATAACTCTACCGAACCATTCAACCTTGAAGAATACCTGTAAATGAAATGCAATCAGTCCAAGACCATCTCATGATAAAACAGAAAACCTTTGCTCTCCAACAAAGGAACTATTCAATGCAGTATTCTGTCTTGGCAGCAGTATTAAAGTCAAATTTCAGGCATGATACAGCTTCCTCCAGCTGAGAATTGCATATGGCTGTCAAGTGTCGCCATCCATATAACCTCCAATGGTCAGGCCCGAGAAACTGGAGAGAAAACAAAGAGTCTGTAACCCTCAATGCTCAAGTAATGATGGATCACTCACTTCTGTGAATGGCAGAAATTGTTTTTACATCCTTTTAGGCCTATGTTTGAAACATCAGCTATAAACCTCACCACTTTGAACATTTCACACCTGCAGCTCTGCACTGCAGTTTACTCATTTGCCGAGATTACTGTGTGCACTGTTTGGCAGGCTTTGCACAGTGTTAAGTCACCTTGAGAGAAAAGGTATTAAAGGGACAGATGACTGACAGAAACTTAAGCCCAGCAGTCACTCAGTGGCTTGTCTTTTAGGGAATGTGACTGACTCTGGGTCTCATAAACATTAAGAACTGACGGGAAAAAAGATTACACAAGTGTGACAATTTGGGAAGCTGTAAAATAGGAGTATGTGGGTTATTTAGAAAGTTTCTAACATCAGGCCCAGTTAAATACTGTGATTTTCCAGTCAGTAAGTACAATTAGAAATCACTGTCAGCAATGAAAGCAAATATTTGCTTCATTATGCACTCAATAAATATGAGTGCATGAGAATGCACAGGCTGTGGAGTGAGGTTGTTCTCAACAGAATATATTGTAACCTGAAAGAACAATGAATTTCAACTGATGGTGGTGTTTTTTCTGCACTTTCACCAAGAGACAGAGTCAAAAAGAAATGAAAGAAGCAAGTAGAAATTTTGTATGATACTCATAAAATCTGCTCACGGGTGGGAATTTGACAAGAAACAGATTGCAGACCAGTAAACTTGGCTTAAGAGCTTTATGGTTTGGTGAGCTTCTACACTGAGCCCACCAGAGCAGGGTTAAACTGAAACAAGGGAGGTCACCCTTAACTGTGCACTCAGGTATAATCATTGCAATATGATTCAAACAATATGTACTGTGGTCAAATCAAAGCGGGGTTCACAGATTTCTGCAGACCCCACACATCCTGGACACAAACAGTTTGAACTCTTCCTCTCCTGAAGGTGCTAAAGCCAAAACAGATAAACAGTTCCTTTCCCTGCATCATCACACTTTTTAACAGTTAATCTGTGTCCTGTTTGCATGTATAACAGGATACAGCAAACACTCCCAGTGCATTAATTTGTAAATATAACCATCGTGTACATATATACAGTGCCTTGCGAAAGTATTCGGCCCCCTTGAACTTTGCGACCTTTTGCCACATTTCAGGCTTCAAACATAAAGATATAAAACTGTAATTTTTTGTGAAGAATCAACAACAAGTGGGACACAATCATGAAGTGGAACGAAATTTATTGGATATTTCAAACGTTTTTAACAAATAAAAAACTGAAAAACTGGGCGTGCAAAATTATTCAGCCCCCTTAAGTTAATACTTTGTAGCGCCACCTTTTGCTGCGATTACAGCTGTAAGTCGCTTGGGGTATGTCTCTATCAGTTTTGCACATCAAGAGACTGAAATTTTTGCCCATTCCTCCTGCAAAACAGCTCGAGCTCAGTGAGATTGGATGGAGAGCGTTTGTGAACAGCAGTTTTCAGTTCTTTCCACAGATTCTCGATTGGATTCAGGTCTGGACTTTGACTTGGCCATTCTAACACCTGGATATGTTTATTTGTGAACCATTCCATTGTAGATTTTGCTTTATGTTTTGGATCATTGTCTTGTTGGAAGACAAATCTCCGTCCCAGTCTCAGGTCTTTTGCAGACTCCATCAGGTTTCCATCCAGAATGGTCCTGTATTTGGCTCCATCCATCTTCCCATCAATTTTAACCATCTTCCCTGTCCCTGCTGAAGAAAGCAGGCCCAAACCATGATGCTGCCACCACCATGTTTGACAGTGGGGATGGTGTGTTCAAGGTGATGAGCTGTGTTGCTTTTACGCCAAACATAACGTTTTGCATTGTTGCCAAAAAGTTCGATTTTGGTTTCATCTGACCAGAGCACCTTCTTCCACATGTTTGGTGTGTCTCCCAGGTGGCTTGTGGCAAACTTTAAACGACACTTTTTATGGATATCTTTAAGAAATGGCTTTCTTCTTGCCACTCTTCCATAAAGGCCAGATTTGTGCAGTATACGACTGATTGTTGTCCTATGGACAGAGTCTCCCACCTCAGCTGTAGATCTCTGCAGTTCATCCAGAGTGATCATGGGCCTCTTGGCTGCATCTCTGATCAGTCTTCTCCTTGTATGAGCTGAAAGTTTAGAGGGACAGCCAGGTCGTGGTAGATTTGCAGTGGTCTGATACTCCTTCCATTTCAATATTATCACTTGCACAGTGCTCCTTGAGATGTTTAAAGCTTGGGAAATCTTTTTGTATCCAAATCCGGCTTTAAACTTCTCCACAACAGTATCTCGGACCTGCCTGATGTGTTCCTTGTTCTTCATGATGCTCTCTGCGCTTTAAACAGACCTCTGAGACTATCACAGTGCAGGTGCATTTATACGGAGACTTGATTACACACAGGTGGATTCTATTTATCATCATTAGTCATTTAGGTCAACATTGGATCATTCAGAGATCCTCACTGAACTTCTGGAGAGAGTTTGCTGCACTGAAAGTAAAGGGGCTGAATAATTTTGCACGCCCAATTTTTCAGTTTTTTATTTGTTAAAAAAGTTTGAAATATCCAATAAATTTCGTTCCACTTCATGATTGTGTCCCACTTGTTGTTGATTCTTCACAAAAAATTACAGTTTTATATCTTTATGTTTGAAGCCTGAAATGTGGCAAAAGGTCGCAAAGTTCAAGGGGGCTGAATACTTTCGCAAGGCACTGTAAAAATTACTGCAGGTAGTGCAATGTAGGCCTAACTTCACAAAGGTTTATTCAGCTACTGTACAATGCTGACAAAATACTAAAGTACAGCTAAAGCTTATATATCATATATATATATATATTTGAAAACTCTTCTATTTCAATGCATAATAGCCTGTTTTTGCTTCTTTTTCTTCCTATTTAAATGCACATATTTTTCTTGTTGCCTTACATTGTTGCCATTATACCGGAGTCAAATTCCTTGTGTATCCAATATACTTGGTTAATAAAACTGATTTTGATGTTGAATCTGATTCTGATTATCTTTAAATGGCATCTCTAACATGAAACTATGTAAAATCTTTTGAAC